CCCCAGCCCCCGAGCCCCGGCCCGCCCTCCGCTGTCGCTCCAGCTCCTCCCGCAGGCCCGAGAGCGCGGAGCGCGCGGGACTCACCTGAGGCCGCGCGGAGGGGCAGGCAGGAAACGCCACCCGGCGGGGGCTGGGAACGAGGGCCCGGATTAAGGTCGGCAATTAGATTGTTCTGGCCATTAGGAAAGCGCTGTGTATTTGCATAATTTATAAAAACACTCTTATTACAGTGCACAGTTACCTGGGTCTTGGCCGTGTGCTCACGGAGAGATGTCTGGTTTGACAAATAACAAATAACAACAAAAATGTACTCTAGAGAGATTGCCCCTTTGAAATCAGTATCAGGGAACTCATAGATGTGGGGTGTTTGGGCTTGTTTTCCTTTTCTTTTCGGTGCAGAAAATGTGGCGTGTGTGTGTGTGTTCAATTTTTTTCCTTTAACTTCATTTTTAAATTCATTATGAAAAGTTAGTAAGTCCAAACAATAGGGCCATGTTTCATAGTTTTATGATACACACACGAATTTTAGCAAGAGCATGAATAGCTTAAAATTGTTTGGAGGAACTGAAAAAAAAAAAAAATCAAGTAGGGGATTTATCTATCACTCCAAAGGTGAAAGGATGGGTATAGGAACCCTCCAGGCTTTAGCATCAGGGGGCAGACACTGGGGTAAAGGAGGACTCCCTTTCTACTTCCGTTACCACACCAGCCCCTTAGAACAGCAGTGAATGCTGTCACGTTCCTAAAATACGGGCTTTTGGCCACCATGAAGGAGATACGGCGGAAGATGCTAGCCATGAACCACCACTTGCGGGATCCCATTCACCACTGTGTCTGCACACGTGACCTGTATGGGAGAAGCAGTGTGTGCGCTTGGAAGCGAAATTCCCATAAGCAGGCTCTAAGGAATGGAACCCAAGGGCCTGCTGGAGTGACAGAGCTGGTCACCAGATTCTTCCTGGGAGAGGGACCAGAAGGCTTCAGGAAGCAGAGCGGGCAAGTTTGGGATCAGCGCAGAAATTCTCCTTGCCGGCATGCCTGGCTGGCTCAGTGGGTAGAGCATGCGGCTCTTGATCTCCAGATGGTGAGTTTGATCCCCACGTTGGGTGTAGCGATTGCTTAAATAAATAAACTTTATTTTTAAAATGTTTTTAAATAAATAAACTTAAAAGAGAAAGAAATGCTCTGTGCAGAGATGGGACAAGGAGCTCTGCACCAGCGATTCTTCGTTCTTCTATGCCCTTCCCACATAGCACTAAGTCTCTGCTCTCATTAGATGTTGAGCCAATATTTAAAGAGTGACCATTTGTTATTTTTATAACAAATAAAAATTTATTTTTAAATAAATTAAAATTATTATTATTTTAATAATAATATTATTTGCCTGAGTGTCCAGGTTCAGTCATGGGGATGAGCATAAATCACCTGCGGTGAAGCAATATGGAAGGCAAAAGGGAGAATCAACACTGGCAAACTTGATGTCCAGGAAACAAGTTAGAAACCAGATGAATTGAATGTTTTGATCCCAGAGAGCCACTTGCTGCATTTTACTCCCACAGCTCTTCTGGTAGGCAGACCTGCCCCACCCACTCATGGAAGCCCCGCCAACTGCTGCTTCCTGGTCCTATCAGATCATCTCTGAGCATTACCTGGTCTTTAGTTCAAATGTGGTTTAAATTTTCAAAGACGGGGCGCCTGGGTGGCTCAGTCGTTAAGCATCTGCCTTCGGCTCAGGTCATGATCCCAGCGTTCTGGGATCCAGCCCTGCATGGGTCTCCCTGCTCCACGGGAAGCCTGCTTCTCCCTCTCCCACTCCCCCTGCTTGTGTTCCCTCTCTCGCTGTGTCTCTCTCTGTCAAAAGGCCTCATTCTTCTTCTTTTTTTTTTTTTTCAG